TGTTAGCATCCATGTTCTTTTTCAGAAAATGTAAATTTATTGTATCATTGCTAGTTAGCAGAAAATTCAAATTAACGTCTGTAATTAATAACATATGACAGCTCGAGCACGTGCTTTTGATAAAACCACGGAAAGAAACTGCCTATCCTAAAACCCAGAGATTAATGTCAGCGATTTTTTTTCCAAAACATCAAGTCTGATATCACTGAAACAAATTTGGATCAGGTATTTACTATAAAGACGTAGTAATGTATTTAAAAAAAGTCGCTAAATTAAATAAACTAATTGTTCCCAAAAAGGAGAATGCCATGGAAGATCTACAGGCGTCGTTACAAGTCTTTATTTGCCGAGAAATTGAGCCAGCCATGAAATATTTTTGACTTTGATTTGATTGCTATACCTCATGGTTCTACAGTGACCTTTAAAAGTCAAAAGTGGCGTAAGCGTAAACAATCCTCATAACTTTAACCGTTACTCGGTTACTGTCAGATAACGTTCTTTCTCACCGTTTCGAAAACCGATAACCACAGAAATGTCTAATTAATTGCATAATTTCCAACACAACAGGATACGGGTACTACGGGATAATTGAAAGTTGTTATTTCCAATCAGCACAGTTCTCTCAAGTTCACAAGGGTCGCTGCTTTTTGAATTATAGTCCTTTGAACAACAATATCTCTGGACATTTTTAGGGAAATATATTGTTAATATAAAAACGTCTTTCTGTATTTTGTTCCTAATACTCTGCAATGCAACATATACGTAACTCGCGAGGGTGCTGCTTTCAGACTGCGCTCTGTTTGCTGGGAAATAAAATTTAACACTCCCAAGTGGAACATATTGACCACAGGTGTAGCCTGGTATTTTGATATAGGAAGATTATAAAGCTTACATTACAAACATACTGAAGTATCAGCCCAGCAAAGGTGAGGGAGAAACCACGTTAAGGGAAGGAATATTCCCTTCACTTGCTGAGAATGCAGGGCAAAAGAGAAAGTGGACCACGATAAGCAATGTCTATATCCCGGATGACAAAAACTCCCCCAACAGAGTACTGAATCTACTTACGTCAAAAGCTACATAAAAATCATTAATTTGGGCAAAATAAATTCCCTTTGTACAGCGCTTTGAAGCCCTAACTTTTCACAGTGAACAAATGCTATTTTGGCACCTTAAAATAGAAGTTAAATTGGTTCTGTTGATTTTTGCATTGAAATATACGAGTTGTAAAAATTGATTAAAAACGTTTTACTGGCTTAAGAACTTTCACTGGAAGTTTCGGTTGCTGCTGTAACCTTCTTTCAGCCAAAAATGTGCATAAGCATCGGCGTCCTTGATGTTATATGAATAAAAAAGAAAAAAGCTGTGCAATATATAAATGTGTCAATGAAGGTTCAATTGAAAGGGGGCTGCAATTTAAAAATTGGAATTCTTGTTGCAGCAACAACCGAAACGTCCTGTTATAGTTTTTAAGCCAGGCAAAAAAAAAATTTCATCAAAGTTTTAACTGATGCCTGGCTACAAACCAAATATTTTTAACATGAGTTGTTCTTCGTGTTACGTTAGGATGGGTTCCTGGATTGCCAAACTTGCAGGCCATAAAAAGGACACGGCTGAATCTCTCAAGGACCCACACGCCATTGCAGCGTACACTCTGTTTTTCGGTTGCGTAGCTTTTGTTTTGTTGCTGTGGATTGTTATTGCTATTTTAACAACCATTAGGATCTACAAAAAGTACTCAAGAAGATCAGAAGATGGTGATACCAAGGTAACAGTGTACGATATAAAAATTACGTAATGTAAAGCAAGAATAATACAACGCAAATTTACTTTAAAGAAAGTCAATTTACGAAGGGCTAATATGATTTAAGTTAAACCAGGTCTTTGAGTATAAGTCAACAAGTAAAGAATCATGTTGCCTATATTAAGGTAAAATAAAGTGTGCGAGTGTCCCCCTTCCCCCCTCCCCCTCTACGGAAAGGATGCTTGTCCATAGCAGGGTTATTTCCCGGCATTAAATCCACCAGTACCTATTGATACACCTGGATGGAGAGAGTTAAATTAACACGAAAAATTATCTGTCTGAGAAAAATTCTTTTGAAACAAAACAGTTAATTCATGTTAATTTAACTCTCTCGGTCTAATTAGCTCGTTACTAATGGGCACCATTTTGTTTTCTTCCGCTATTGGTGTCTGACCCCTAATTTGTTGAATATCTGTATTGTCATTGTTTTATTTGTTATCATAAATTCAAATGTTACTTGAAAAATAACTCACAACTGAAGATGATCGCTGAACGAGCGAAAAATATCTGGCAAAATAAAATGAGTTATCTTCTCGATCTCTCTAAACATAAACCACTCGTGAAATACATACGAAACTACATCCGGGGCCCGAGTGCTGTATTTTCCATATCCTCGCCAATGACTAAGGATATTGATGACGTCATTTCTATACTTCATTTCCGGTCTAGATAATAATATATTTGCAGTTCTAGGAAGAAACTGAAAGTACAGTTATCCAAATTTCTCTCTTTAATGGTTCAGTAAACCATTTTTCCAGGTGTGACCCATTTATCCACGTGTGGCGCATTTCTCCAAGTGTGCCGCATTTTTCCAAGTGTGCCGCACTTTTTTAAGTGTGCCCCATTTTTCCAAGTGTGCTGCATTTTTCCAAGTGTGCCGCATTTTTCCAAGTGTGCCGCATTTTTCCAAGTGTGGCACATTTTTCCACTGTGCCGCATTTTTCCAAGTGTGGCGCATTTTTCCAAGTGTCGCGCATTTTTCCAAGTGTACAGCGTTTTCCCAAGTATGCCGCCTTTTTTTCAAGTGTACCGCATTTTTCCAAGTGTGCTACACTTTTCCAAGTGTACCGCACTTTTCCAAGTGCGCGCATTTTTTCAAGTGTGCCGCATTTTTCCAAGTGTGCCGCATTTTTCCAAATAAGGCGCATTTTTCCAAATAAGGCGCATTTTTCCAAGTGTGGCGCATTTTTCTAAGTGTTGCGCATTTTTCCAAGTGTGCCGGATTTTTTTTAAGTGTGCCGCAGTTTTCCAAGTAAGGCGTATTTTTTCAAGTGTGCCTTATTTTTCCAAGTGTGCCCCATTTTTCCAAGTGTGCCGCATATTTCCAAGTATGCCGCATTTTTCCAAGTATGCCGAATTTTTTCAAGTGTGGCGCATTTTTCCAAGTGTGGCGCATATTTCCAAGTATGCCGCATTTTTCCAAGTGTGCCGAATTTTTTCAAGTGTGGCATATTTTTCCAAGTGTGGCGCATTTTTCCTAGCGTGCCGCATTTTTCCAAGTGTGCCGCATGTTTCCATGTGTTCCTCATTTTTTCAAGTGTGGCGCATTTTTCCAAGTTTGACCCATTTTTAAAAGTGTGGCGCATTTTTCCAAGTGTGCCGCATTTTTGCAAGTGTGTCGCATTTTTCCAAGTGTGGTGCATTTTTTCAAGTGTGTCGCATTTTTCCAAGTGTCCTGCATTTTTGCAAGTGTGCTGCATTTTTCCAAGTGTCCCGCATTTTTGCAAGTATTCCGCATTTTTCCAAGTTTGCCCCATTTTTAAAAGTATTGCGCATTTTTTCAAGTGTGCCGCATTTTTTTTAAGTGTGCCCCATTTTTCTAAGTGTGCCGCATTTTTCCAAGTATGCCGCATTTTTTCCAGTGTGTTGCATTTTTCCAAGTATGCCGCATTTTTCCAAGTGTGCCGAATTTTTTCAAGTGTGGCGCGTTATTTCAAGTATGCCGCATTTTTCCAAGTGTGGCGCATATTTCCAAGTATGCCGCATTTTTCCAAGTGTGCCGAATTTTTTCAAGTGTGGCGAATTTTTCCAAGTGTGGCGCATTTTTCCAAGTGTGCCGCATTTTTCCTAGCGTGCCGCATTTTTCCAAGTGTGCCGCATCTTTCTATGTGTTCCTCATTTTTCCAAGTGTGGCGCATTTTTCCAAGTTTGCCCCATATTTGAAAGTGTGGCGCATTTTTCCAAGTGTGCCGCATTTTTGCAAGTGTGCCGCATTTTTCCAAGTGTGGTGCATTTTTTCAAGTGTGTCGCATTTTTCCAAGTGTCTTGCATTTTTGCAACTGTGCTGCATTTTTCCAAGTGTCCCGCATTTTTGCAAGTATTCCACATTTTTCCAAGTTTTCCCCATTTTTAAAAGTGTTGCGCATTTTTTCAAGTGTGCCGCATTTTTTTTAAGTGTGCCCCATTTTTCCAAGTGTGCCGCATTTTTCCAAGTATGCCGCATTTTTTCCAGTGTGTTGCATTTTTCCAAGTATGCCGCATTTTTCCAAGTGTGCCGAATTTTTTCAAGTATGGCGCGTTTTTTCAAATGTGGCGCATTTTTCCAAGTGTGCCGCATTTTTCCAAGTGTGCCGCATTTTCCCAAGTGTGCCGCATTTTTCCAAGTGTGCCGCATTTTTCCAAGTAAGGCGTATTTTTTCAAGTGTGCCGCATTTTCCCAAGTGTGTCGCATTTTTCCAAGTGTGCCGCATTTTTCCAAGTGTGCTGCATTTTTCCAAGTGTGGCACATTTTTTCAGATGTGCCGCATTTTTTCAAGTGTGGCGCATTTTTCAAGTGTGCCGCATTTTCCCAAGTGTGCCGCATTTTTCCAATTGTGCCGTATTTTTTTTAAGTGTGCCGCATTTTTTTCAAGTGTAGCGCATTTTTCCAAGTGTGGGGCATTTTTCCAAGTGTGGCGCTTTTTTCCAAGTGTGCCGTATGTTTTCAAGTGTGTCGCATTTTTCCAAGTGTGCCGCATTTTTTCAAGTGTGTTGTATTTTTCCTAGTGTGCCGCATTTTTCCAAGTATGACGCATTTTTCCAAGTTTGCCGCATTTTTTTAAGTGTATGACATTTTTTCAAGTGTACCGGATTTATTCAAGTGTGCCGAATTATTCCAAGTTTGCCACATTTTTCCAAGTGTTACCCATTTTACCAAGTTTGACCCATTTTTTCAGGTGAGAATTATTTTACCAAGTGTGACCCATTTTTCCAATTGTGACTCATTTTTGCAAGAGCAGCCCAATTTCTCAGGTGTGACTCATTTTTCCAAATGTGACCCATTTTTCTAAGTGTGAACCATTTTTCCAAGTGTGACCTATTTTTCCATTTTTGACCCATTTTTCAAGTGTGACCCATTTTTCCAGGGTTGACCCATTTTTCTAGGCGTGACCTAGTTTTCCAGTTGTGGCCCATTTTAGCAGGCGCCGTTTTGTGGTCTCGCTATGTACATTATGGAGAAAATAATATTTTTAAAGTTAGAAAGCAATTAGAGAAATTAACAACGTTTGAGACATTGTTGCATCAATTTATTGTACTTATTTTTGCAGACCACATTTGACCTTCAAATGGGGAAGAAACTCCTTCAGGTATATATTCTCTGAGCCACGACAAATTGAACAAAGTTTAAAGCCAGTTTAGGCTATGGCCTCGTTCAAAGCTGTAGACTTTGCGTAGTTCTCAAATTCAATAATAATTCAGTCATCAAGGAAATTATGACCGTGAGGGTGTTTGGATATCTGATCTTAATCAGCATAGGTTTTTACGATATTGCTTCTCCGTTTTCTCCTTGGTGCTAGTTTTGACTGAAAAGATCTTTCAAACACTCAAGGCTGTGTTTGACAACATTTCCAAACACCTCGAATAGAAGCTCATCAAAAATACGTTGCTACGCGTCGTATTTTCCATTTTTATCTCGGTGTTTGGGAAATGTGGTCAAACACGGTCTTTCGTGTTTGATATATTGCATGAAAATAAACGAAGAGTTGGCAAATTTTTACTACATTATTATGCAAGTAGTATAGTGGGACTGTAGTCTAGTAAAGCCCCAACTTTAATAATTAGCACAAGCCACCGACACCTCTGTACATTTTGTATAGTCACTGATATACATTACTGAGCATTCTATTATGTGCTGTACTCAGATCATGTTTATATTTTCGCAGACCACATTAGATCTGCAAGTGAGGAAGAAACTTGTCCAGACCCTGAGGCTCCGTCAGAGTTATCAGCAAGCGAAGTTAGAGACTGTGGAAATAATCACCACACCAAGATCAGGTCTCAGATACTAGATGTTTCTATAGTACATTAAAATTTCGCTCCTAAGTACAATTGATCTGGAACGGTCACTAGCCCTTCAAATATTTGAAGGGCTAGTGACCGTATGAAGGGGATATTTAACCATTATTCCACGAGCGCGCATTGGATATGAGATGGTAGATATTCAACGAGGCGCGTAGCGTCAAGTTGGCTATAATCATCTCACTTCCAAGAAGCACGATTGGAATAATTTTTTTTAATAAAAACGCTCCCAAAGGATGGTAAACTAAACTAAATAAGAACACAAAGCCCCCATAAATCTCACGTACGCTTACCATATTTGTAGAGCCATGATGGTATAATGTGTCATAACCCATGACGACTAAGCCAATGAAAACTCTTGAAGTGCATTATACAATGATCCAGTTTTTAATAAAAATCTCGTACGCTGAATACATCAGATTTATCGCTAAACTGCACACGATGCAATTATCTTTTCCTCTTTACATAAAGCTACATCAGGAGAAAACAACAACAAGCTTGGGATTCAGTTAGTGGATGAACCAGAAACCGATGACAAAGCGGACTATCCGGGAATATATGTGGCGGATATCAAACCCGGTAGCCTGGCAGAAGGAAAACTGTTTCCCGGCGATAAGATATTAGCGGTATCATAAACCTTTATCGATTCATGTATATTTTGGTTAATAACAAATGGAAACTTGGGACTCGATCCCTCCGCGGGGGCTACTACCAGAAAAATTGAGTGGGGGTGTGCGGCCCGCTCAGTCCAAAACACTTACCCTATTTATGACCAAACTCTGTGATTTTCCCTACCGTATTTTTGACCTGACAAAAAATTCGACACCCTATTTTTGACCTGACACAGTTGCCCGTAAACATAATTTGTGAAGGGCTTTTGCTGATGGTCTTATCGATAATGATAAAAAAGAAACTTCTTCCAAAAAACATACCCAATTCAAGACTAGAGTGCAAAAATTATACCCTATTCAAGACTAAATGGCCAAAATCGATAGCCTATTTATGCCCAAAACGGCTGAAAAACCATACTCTTTGGGGCAGCACATACCTCTAAAGCTCATATAAGAGAGCACCCCCGTGTTCGAAACTTGTAGAACCTAAATTATAAGAATGGTGGCCGAGTTCTTTAATATTTTTCAGATCAATGATTTCTACCTGGGTAAAGCTTCTCTGAAGTACGCCTCGGAAGTCATGCATGCCCTGAGACAAGCTGAAGGACATCTGAAGTTCTCCGTCAAAAGAGCACAGATAAGAGAGGTAGTTTACAGACAAAGTAAAGTTGCCTTGCTTAACAATATGTCGACTAGTGAATACAGATGGTGAATTTTTTAGGCTCGTTAATGAAATGTGAAAGGTAAATTGATCAACATGACACGAGCGTGGGACAAAGAAAATGTCGACTAGTTGTACGCTTGAAAATAGCTATAGCGAGATGTTACGAAAAGAGTAGCTGACAAACTCTAAGCTCATCTATTCGTAAATTGATAAAATTTCGTTCAGTTCTGACTTTAAAAGCATTCCAGTGACCCGGACTTGAAAATGCTAGCATTTTCGGGACCTCGGTCATAGTTTTTTCACTATACGGACCTGACCTCTCGTCGGCAAATAACATATATTTATTTATTCATTTGATATATAGTCATATATATAGCAACAGATATGCATACGATGTCTGATATCTTTCAGCAAAGGGTAAACGAGGCCTTCTCGATGTATTGCGACGATGAAGACACGGGAAAGAAGGTGGCTTTCAATAAAGATCATATGGAAGGTACGATTTGACACAAAACTCTGATGCCAATTTCTCTTTTACACTTCTTTTGAGGATTGCCCATTGCGATGCACCTCGTGATTCTACAAGCGAAATTTCGAAAACCTGAGAGAAAACCATCTTTATGTTATATATTCAGGGGGAATTTTCGAGTAATCGTTGTTATTTCTTCTAATTTCTTTGCAGTGTTCGAAGAAGCGTTTTCCATGTTTGATGTGCACGCCACTGGAAAGATACAATTCAAGTTTTTGTTCCCACTGCTTCGAAACCTGGGCTACAACGTTCACAAGGCAGAGGCCTGGGACTACTTGAATGAGCTTGAGTTAGCAGGTAAAGTGACGAGGAACAGTGACCTTACCAATAATAATAATAATAATAATAATAATAATAATAATAACATTACAATTCACCGCTAATTTTTTTCTGATTCTTATTAGTTTAAATTGATTACGTGACGCGATACTGTTCATCCGCGGAGGGACACTATCAGCCCATAGTGCCCGTCCGAGGAAAATACCCGGATGAGTAGTACTCGTCCGTGAAAATTTCTCTGTAAACATGCGGGCGCGGGCTTATAGAAAAAATAATTGAGAGACCCAGTTTGTCTGTTTTCTTTTTCAAATTTTACATTGGGCTCTCGCGCCTTTCATGTAAGAAAGTTGAAAGTAACTCAATATGATTTTTTTGAACTGAAGCGCGGAATTAAGAAAATTAAGTGGTGAACAATAAAGACAATAGAGTGTAGACAATAGAGTGTTCATGTCTCGGAACTATCGGCTGATAGCTGCCCCGCGGAAATTTGATTTTCTTTAAAAATATGTGAGTATGTAAATGTAATTTATTTAACCACGGAGCACCAAGAAGATCACAAGAACTCGTTCAGAAATGCCCGTGCATTCCAGAATCAAATTGAAATTTGGAATGTATTAATATTAGTATTAGTATAGTTTTTTAGCAGTGTCCCCTAATTAGTATGGTGTATTATTTGAAGGCTATAAGGTTTTTGACACTTTAATAAAGTTCTCACTCACTCACTCACTCACTCACTCACTCA